CCCCAAAACCCCAAAACCCCAAAACCCCAAAACCCCTTGTTAAAAGGTTGCAGCTGAATATATCATAATGCGAATTAAAAATCATAAAGGAGAGAAAGAACGACTTTTGGACGAAGATGAAATATCAAATGGTACTTTACATGTTGCTCAACAGGGCAATTGAAAGAAGACTTTCTTCCAAGTTTACATTTTCATACTAACTTTCTTAACATATGCGTCTCTTCATCTAAGCAGAGAAGCATGGTCCTTCCTCAAAGAGGAAGTCAAGGAAGAACAGTCTCCTGGAATCGGCCTCTCAAGTAATGACTTGGGCACAATTGATATGTTCTTCTTGTTTTCGTACTCAATCGGACTGTTCATCAGTGGCATTCTTGGAGACAACCTGAACAAAAACCTCCTGCTCGGGTGTGGATATTTGGTAGCTGCTGGAGCAACAGTCATGGTTGGGCTTGGAGGCCTTTGGAAAATCAGATCAGTCTGGTATTATGTAGGATTTTTCATGATAAGTGGGTTTGCTCAATCTGTTGGATGGCCCTCAGTGGTCGCAGTCATGGCCAACTGGTTCCCTAAGAAAGGGCGAGGCTTCTGGTTCGGTGTCTGGACCTCCAACCCCAATGTTGGCAACATCCTCGGCACACTTGTTTCAAGCCTGGTTAATGGGGTTATTGGGCTGAGTTGGAGCTGGACTTGGATAATTGTAGCAATGATTGTTGCGACTTTTGGTGTGATTAATTTCATCTTCATGATCGAACACCCAGATAAGGTTGGCATTAGTATTGAGATTCAACAAGACGAAGAAGTCAATACCATGGAACATAGAGATGAGAGAGAAGTTGAAAGTGGAGTTGCAGAAAATGCTATTTATAAAGAAAGCCAAAGTGATAATGAAGGTGTAGAAAGCCAAATATCTTCAGATTGAAACAGAAGTAAAGAGGAGGAAGATCATGATAAAAAAGTTAATTTCAACTTCTTTAGAGCTTGGCTGATCCCTGGTGTCATCCAATACTCAATCTGATATCTTGCCCTCAAGCTTTGCAATTACGGTATATTACTTTGGTTACCCACTTATGTGTCGGAAGAGCTAGACTTTTCAACCAGCGAGAAAGCTCTCGTTGCCATTCTCTACGATGTCGGCACCATCATCGGCAGCGTGTCTCTGGGGCTCCTGTCAGACATGATGTACGGAAAGCGAGTCCCAGTGTGTTTTGTAGGACTGTTAATAGCAACATGTTTTCACTCCACTCTGATATTCCTGGGTAACAACGAGAAAGTCATCATTTTCATAGTAATCTTTATCCTGGGGTTCTTTATCGGATCCATTGCAAATATAATATCTGGGACGGCATGTGCTGACATTGGCAAGCACGACTCCATCAAAGGTAATGACTCGGCCTTGTCGACTGTCACCGGGATAGTAGACGGAACAGGATCTCTGGGAGCTGCTGCTGGGCAGAAAGGAATAGGATACATTCAGGACAACGCGAATTGGACAGCAGTATTCATAATGATGACATCGTTTGTGTTTATTAGCTCAGTACCAATTTCATGAATCTTTGTGAGAGAAATAAAAGAGATCTTGGCTATTAGGAAATCTGCAAAGGAAGAGAAAAATGTAAAATCTTTCTAGTAATTAAAAGTAACCAGCCTATTTATTAGTGTATACATTCAATTTTTCTGTATAGAATCGGGGTTTTGGGGTTTTGGGGTTTTGGGGTTTTGGGG